CCATACAGAAAGAGAATTTATGGTAGTGAAAGCAGGCTGTCTCTCTCATTATCTGTCTTCTCTGTGTGCAGCCTCTGTCAGTGGCAAGACTTGCCCAGCCACACTGCCCAGCTCTTCTCTTTCCCCCACAGATGAAGAGAGGGTGATTGGCTTTGCCTCGGTGGACCTCTCCCCACTTCTTTCTGGCTTCCAGTTTGTCTGTGGCTGGTACAACATCACAGACTTCAGTGGAGAGTGCCAGGGGCAGATAAAAGTTGCAGTCTCCCCTCTGGAGAGTTTGATGCACTTCAAAGAAGAAAGACAATCAAGACGTGGGGTGGAGACCCCAGGATCCCTGGTACGTATCCTGATTCAGTCTTAACCAGTAAGGGTTCCACTGAGCCAAATCTATAAGAAGATCCTTTACATGTGTTTGGTACTTCCCAGCTTACAGAACACATTATGTATTTGTGTCTCATAATGACCTCATGACCTGTTTAGGGTGATAAAAATTACACAGTGGCGTACATAGTGGAATTACACAGTGGTGATGGATGCACAACTCTGAATATATTAAAAACCACTGAACTGAACAATTTCAAAGGATGAACTTTATAATACATTGATTATATCTCAATTTAAAAAAATTTTATGAGTATAGTTGACACACAGTGTTACATTAGTATCAGGTGTACAACACAGTGATTGGACAAGTTTATGTATTATGCTGTGCTCACCACAAGGGCAGCCACCATCCGTCCCCATACAGCACTATTACAGTACCAATGCCTGTATTCTCTATGCCGTGCCTTTTATTCCTGTGACTTACTCATTCCATAACTGGAAGCCGGTATCTCCTACACCCGGCACTGATTGCCCATCCCCCTCCCCTCTAGCAACCATCAGTTTGTTCTCTGTATTTATGGGTCTGTTTATACTTTTTTCTTTGTTTATTAATTTCTTTTGTTTTTTAGATTCCTTATATAAGTGAAATCATAGGGTATTTGTCTTTCTCTGTCTTATTTCACTTAGCATCATATCCTCTAGATCCATCCATGTTGTCACAAATGGCTGTATCTCAATTTTTAAATAAAGTAAGATTAATTGCAGCATGGACTTTGTAACCACATTCGTTGAACTTTTTAAAAACTCTATTACAGGGGCGCCTGGGTGGCTCAGTCGTTAAGCGTCTGCCTTCGGCTCAGGTCATGATCCCAGGGTCCTGGGATCAAGCCCCGCATCGGGCTCCCTGCTCAGTGGGAGGCCTGCTTCTCCCTCTCCCGCTCCCCCTGCTTGTGTTCCCTCTCTCGCTGTGTCTCTCTCTCTCTGTCAAATAAATAAAAACGTAGTAAAAAAAATTAAAAAGTAAAAAGTAAAGAAATTAAAAAAAGCATTACATTAAAATCATTGCTTTTTTTTTTTTTAAGATTTTATTTATTTGTCAGAGAGAGAGAGAGAGAGCACAGCACAAGCAGGGAAGCAGCGGGCAGAAGGAGAAGCAGGCTTCCCACTGAGCAAGGAGCCCAATGCAGGGCTCGATCCCAGAACCCTGGGATCATGACCTGAGCCGAAGGCAGACGCTTAACTGACTGAGCCACCCAGGTGTCCCTAAGATCATTGTTCTAACGAAAACAGATGATCAGGGGAAGAGAGGAAAAAAACAAGACAAAATCAGAGAGGGAGACAAACTATAAGAGACTCTTAATCATAGGAAACAAACTGAGGGTTGCTGGAGGGGAGGGGGATGGGGGAATGGGTAACTGGGTGATGGACATTAAGGAGGGCACATGATGTATAGAGCACTGGGTGTTATATGCAACTGATGAATCACTGACCTCTATTTCTGAAATCAATAATACATTATATGTTAAATTAATTGGATTTAAATAAAAATTTTGGGGATGCCTGGGTGGCTCAGTCAGTTAAGCGTCTGCCTTCAGCTCAGGTCATGGTCTCAGGGTCCTGGCACTGAGTCCCACATTGGGCTCTCTGCTCAGCGGGGAGCCTGCTTCTCCCTCTGCCTGCTGCTCCCCCTGCTTGTGTGTGCTCTCTCTCTCTCTCTGACAAATAAAATGTTTAAAAAATAAATAGATAAATATTTTTTAACTGTCAAAAAAAATAGAGAGGGAATGGAAAGAGGGGACTCAATGATAGTAAGTACAGACACTCTTTCAGGGAGTTTAACTATAAAAGAAAGAATTTTCCAGACTGTCCCAGATGGGGGAGCTCTATCAAAGCAAAGATTGTAGGGTTTTTTCATCTTTCTTATCATGCATGGCTGGCCCAGGGTCTGGCAGAGTGGGCGTCAGTAAATATTGAATGCATGAATGACTGCATGAGAAAGTAGCGAAGAGTTAAACAATTGCTGTGTAAGAAGGTCTTTTCACATCAGCCCTGGTAGTCATGAGACAAGAAATACCACAGCCCCATTATCCTCACATGTAAAGTAAAATGATATCCAGTCAGAAGTTCACAAACTAGCTGGAAGAGCAGGAGCATAAATACAAATAAAGTAACTAAAAAGCAATCTGATAGCATAGTATATAAAATGGGGATAATAATAGTACCTGCCTCATAAGATTATTGTGAAGTTTAAATGAGAAAATGCATGTAAATTGCTTAGTACAGCATTCGACACATAGAAAATACTCAGTAAATTTTGTCTACATACGGTAAATTTTTTAAACACAAATTTACAAATTTATTTATATTTCTTTGTTCCAAAAGGATTTGTGGTGACAGGTATACCATTTTTCTCATTGTTTCTACAGATCCCAATACACAGCCCTTTTTCCTTCCCTGCCTCTGATATGTATGCTGCATTCCCCAGCTGCATTGCAAGATGGACCCCAGAACAACTTGCTCACACCTCATCAAGGGAACTTGATTTCTCCTCTCCTGAGAGGTGGGTGAGTTTTTGATGGGAAGAAATAGAGAGTTGGATATCTGCTAACTGGTTTGGCATTTCTCTCTTTCCTTTATTGGAGGAACAAACTAGAGACAGGGAAAGAGCTTTGTTGATCTTCAGTCACAGCCCCTGGGAACTCCAGGATCCTATGAGGGCAAATTTTTTATAAGACAGGAAACTAGAACTGTTACTGCTATCAAAAAGGTAGCTTCAGTGGAAAGGATGCTTTTCTCTTCTCCTTAGAGGCCTTTAACCTTTATCCCTAAAATCAGTCATCAGCTGTCTGAGATCTTTCCCTTTCTGAACCTAGGAACCAGGATATTTTATAAAAAGCAACTGGCCCATCCAGATGCTTCACCACGCCAACCATGGACAGGCATATGGATATCAGGGCGAGAGCATATTCCATTCTCTCAAAGGGTAGGGTCTAGGAATAACACTGCTGTTTTCCACCCCACTCCCTTCCAGGCCCTAGTGCCATTTGTCATCCCCCTGCCTCCACCAGTCTTTCCCGTGCCTATCTCTCTACTTCAGGAATAAGGCAAGGGATCTTTCCCTACAACAGCCATTCCTACAGCAGCAGTTATGAGTAGACCCTTTATTCCATAAAGACACTAATACCACTTAGCCACTCAAAGGCCCATTTCAGTGCTGTGTAGCTCTCTACCTACTTAACACATGAAGAGTGCCTCTGCCCTCTGTATAAAGGGCTCCCATGTGTCTGTCAAATCCTAGATCACAGGCTTAAATAATTGTTCTGGTATTCTGGTGTAATTTTATGAGTGTTACTTTGACCATAGCCAATCCATGAGACATAGGGAGGATAACGGTACTGGTACAAGGATAGAAATATAGATTGAGGGCGCCTGGGTGGCTCAGTTGGTTAAGCGACTGCCTTCGGCTCAGGTCATGATCCTGGAGTCCCGGGATCAAGTCCCGCATCAGGCTCCCTGCTCGGTGGGGAGTCTGCTTCTCCCTCTGACCCTCTTCCCTCTCGTGCTTTCTATCTCTCATTCTCTCTCTCTAAAAATAAATAAATGAAATCTTAAAAAAAAAAAAAGAAATATAGATTGATTGTGAGGCCACTACTTAGTAATTGTAAAAGCTAAGTTTAGTGGTTTGCTTTTTGTCCACATAAAAATATCCCTGTTCCAGGGACGCCTGTGTGGCTCAGTTGGTTAAGCATCTGCCTTTGACTCCCAGGGTCCTGGGATCGAGCCCAACATCAGGCTCTCTGCTCAGCAGGGAGCCTCTTTCTTCCTCTCCCTGTGCCCTCCTCCCCCGTTCATGCTGTGTCTTTCTCTGTCTCAAATAAATAAATAAAATCCTTAAAAAAAAAAAAAAATAGGAACCATGTTCCTACTTCAGAAGGACCATATCAAAATGACATATTCTGATCCAGCTAGCCATCTAAGGCTAACCAAATTGTGGTATATTCCTACAATGAAATGCTACTCAAAAACTTTGCAAAAGGCAATATTGATATACAAAATGAATCTCAAAATAATTAGGTTGAGAGAGAAGCTAGATGAAAGAGGGTACATTGTATCTGATTCCATTTATATAAAATTCTAGAAAACTCATACTAGTCTATAGTGACAGAAAGCAAATCAGTAGTTGTCTAGGGTCAAGGGAAAATGAATAGAGCAAGGAAAAGGGAGGAACTATGAAGGACGGGAGGAAACTTTTAAGGGTGATGAATATGTTCATAATCTTAATGTTTTAATGGTTTCTTTAGATGTACACATATGTCAAAACTCATTGTGGCACAAAATTATGCTATAATTGGACCAAATAGTCAGTTTTGATACTTCTCCAATAAAGGGTTGTTATTTGGTCAATAATTTTTCAGTCACAACAAAAAATTATAACATAAAAACATACCTCATATGGGGTGCCTGGGTGGCTTAGTTGGTTCAGCATCTGCCTTCGGCTCAGGTCATGATCTTGGGGTCCTGGGATCAAGCCCCGTGTCGGGCTCCCTGCTCAGCAGTGAGCCTGCTTCTCCCTCTCCCTCTGCTTCTCCCCACTGCTCGTGCTCACTCTCTCTCTCTCGCTCAAATAAATAAAATCTTTTTAAAAAATACCTCATATTAGAGGTTGCGGAGCCGTCATGGCGGCGCTGTGTCGGACCCGTGCCGTAACTGCCGAGAGCCAGCTCCTGCGAGTGTTTCTCTTCTCTCGGCCCTGTCGAGGCGCAGGCACTGAGAGTAGCTCCGGGAGTGAGAGTTCCGATTCCACAGAGCCTAAAATGCGCCAAGGCGGCTTCGCGAGCGCTTTGGAGCAGCATTCGAAGCTGTCCCGGAAGGCGGAGCTCGGGCAGAAGACAGGCTCTCCAAAAAATGTGGACTCTTTTGCATCTATGCTGAGACATTCTCCTCTTACACAGATGGGACCTGCCAAGGATAAACTCGTCATTGGACGAATCTTCCATATTGTAGAGAATGATCTTTATATAGATTTTGGTGGCAAGTTTCATTGTGTATGTAGAAGACCAGAAGTGGATGGAGAGAAATACCAGAAGGGAACCAGAGTCCGACTGCGGCTATTAGATCTTGAACTTACATCTAGATTCCTGGGAGCGACTGCAGATACAACTATACTAGAAGCGGGTGCAATTCTCTTAGGAGTCCAGGAGAGTAAAGACGCAAAATCAAAAGAGGAACCTCGTGAATAAGAAACAAACTTTGCTTAGTGCATTCACTCCTTTTTTGTTAAACCCAGATACTCATCAAGAATGCAATTAGAAAATTGTGAATAAATGATTGAAAGAAGACATAATAAATGAAAGCTATAATTATAAAAAAAAATACCTCATATTATAGACTTTAAATCTGTGAAATTTATTATATAGTGGTTATACCTTAGAAAAGCAGTTCTCAAACATTTCTACTGCAGAACCTTTTTGTACTCTTAAAAATTATTGGTGACCTCAAAGAGGTTTATTTAGGTAAGTTATATCTATCTATTTTTACCATATTAGAAAATTAAACAAAACTTTTTTTAAAGATCTATTTATTTCAGAGAGAGAGAGAGGGAGAGAGCACACACTAGTAGGGAGAGAGGCAGAGGGAGAGACTCCTCAAGCAGACTCCCCACTGAGTGTGGAGCCCCGCACAGGGTCAATATCTCATGACCCCAACACCATGACCTGAGCCAAAATCAAGTGTTGGACACTTAACCAACTGAGCCACCCAGGCACCCCTAAACTGAGAACATTTTAAAATATAATACATAGGGGCGCCTGGATGGCTGAGTCATTAAGCGTCTGCCTTTGGCTCAGGTCATGATCTAAGGGTCCTGGGATCAAAGCCTGCTTCTCCCTCTCCCACTCCCCCTGCTTGTGTTCCCTTCTCTCTCACTGTGTCTCTGTCAAATAAATAAATAAAAATCTTTAAAAAAATAAATAAGGGGCACGTGGCTGGCTCAGTCATTAAGCATCTGCCTTCGGCTCAGGTCATGATCCCAGGGTCCTGGGATCGAGCCCCGCATCGGGCTCCCTGCTCGGCGGGGAACCTGCTTTTCCCTCTCCCACTCCCCCTGCTTGTGTTCCCTCTCTCGCTGTCTCTCTCTGTCAAATAAATAAATAAAATCTTTGAAAAAAAATAAAGTATAATATACAAAATCAATTGTTTATCTGTACATCAACAGTGAATAAACCAAAATGAAATTGAGAAAGCAGTTCCATTTACAATAGCATCAGAAAGAATAAAATACTGGGCCCCTGGGTGGCTCAGTCGTTAAGCGTCTGCCTTCGGCTCAGGTCATGATCTAAGGGTCCTGGGATCACTGTCTCTCTCTTTGTCAAAAAACAAATAAAATCTTTTTAAAAAAAAAGAATAAAATACTTAAAAAATAAATTTAACAAAAAAAAAGTCCAAAACTTATTCTCTGAAAACTACAAAACATTGTTGAAAGAAATTAAAGAAGATCTGAATAAATGGAAGGACATCCCATGTTCACTGATTGGAAGACTTAAAATGGCAGTATTCCCCAAATCGATCTACAGATTCAACACATTCCCTATCATAGTCCCTGCTGGGTTTTTCATGGAAATGGGCCAGCTAGTCCTAAAATTCATATGGGAGTTCAAGGGACACAGAATAGGCAAAATAGTCTTGAGAAAGAAGAAAATCCTAATTTTCAAACTGAACACAAGGCTACAGTAAACAGTACAGTGTGCTGCTGGTATAAGGATAGAAATGTAGATCAGTGGAATAAATTGCCAGTCCAGAAGTAAACCCATGTGCCAAGGATGCCAAGATGTCTAAGGTGCCAAGATCCTTTAATGAGGAAAGAATAGTCTTCAGCAAATGGTGCTGGAGCAACTGCATACCCACATGCAAAAGATTGAAGTTGGACCCCTTCTTCACATTGTATACAGAAATTAACTCCAAAAGGATCATATATCTAAATGTAAGAGCTAAAACTATAAAACTCTCAGAAGAAAACAGGAGTAAATCTCTCTTTTTTTTTAAAGATTTTATTTACTTATTAGAGAGAGAGAGAGAATGAGAGAGAGAGCACGAGAGGGGGGAGGGTTAGAGGGAGAAGCAGACTCCCTGCTGAGCAGGGAGCCCAATGTGGGGCTTGATCCTGGGACTCCAGGATGATGACCTGAGCTGAAGGCAGTCGCTTAACCAACTGAGCCACCCAGGCGCCCCAGAGTAAATCTTTATGACCTTAGATTAGGCAAATGATTCCTTATATAAGACACAAAAAGCAGAAGCAACAAAAGAAAAAGTAAATTGGATTCATCAAAATTAAAAATTTTCATGCCACAATTAAAATAAAAAGGCAATCCACAGAATAGGAGAAAATATTTGCAAACCATAGATATGATGAGACTTATATCCAGATTATATAAAGAATTCCTATAACTCAATAATAAAAAGCAAATAACCCAATTAAAAATGGACCAAAAGGGGCGCCTGGGTGGCTCAGTCAGTTAAGCGTCTGCCTTCGGCTCAGGTCATGATCCCAGGTCCTGGGATTAAGCCCCATGTCGGGCTCCCTGCTCAGCAGGGAGTCTGCTTCTCTCCCTCCCTCTCCCCGCCCTGTGCTTGTGCTCGCTCACTCTCTTTCTGTCTCTCTCAAATAAATAAAATCTAAAAAAAAAAAGAAAGAAATAGTTTACAAAAAAAAAAAACGGACAAATGATCTGAATAGACAAATGTCCAAAGAAGATATACAAATGGTCAGTAAGCACATGAAAAGATACTTAACATCATTAACTATCAGGTAATGTAAATGAAATCCATAATGAGACACCACTTCACACCCACTACAATCAAAAGGACAAATATCACAAGTGTTGGGAGGATGTGGAGAAACTGAAACCCTCATACATGGTTGTAGGATTTTAAAATGGTACAGCTGCTTTGGAAAACAGTCTGGCACTTCCTTTTAAAAGGTTGAACATAGAGTAATCATATGATCCAATAATTCCACTTCTAGGTATATACCCAAGAACAGTAAAATCATATGTCCACACAAAAACCTGTACATGAGTGTTTGTAGTAACATTATTCCTTATAACTTAAAAATGGAAACAACCAAAATGTCCATCATTTGATGAGTAAACAAAATGTGTTATCTCTGTATAATAGAAAATTATTCAGCCATGAGAAGGAATGAATTACTGATATATGCTACAGCATGGGTGAAGCTTAAAAACATACTAAATAGAAGAAGCCAGTCACAAGAGACTATATATGGTTATTATTTCATTTATATGAATTATTCAGATTACGCAAATCTACAGAATCAGAAAGTAGTTTAGCAGTCGCCTAGAGCTGGGAGGTTTGGGTTTGAGGGTTTGGGGTAGTGGAGGAAATGTGGAGTGATTGCTGATGGGTATAGGGTTTCTTTTTGGGGTGATGAAAATATCCTAAAATTTGGTGATGGTTACACAACTCTGAATATATTAAAAACCATTGAGTGGTACACTTTCACTGGGTGAATTGTATGGTGTGTGAATTATATCTCAGTGAAGCTATTATTTAAAGAGAAGACAATTATTGCTGGAGTCCAGTTCATGAATACCTAGGAAATTTGAAACTTGTTTTATAGATTTAAAAAAAAAAAAAAAACACTGCAGCTGTGTCAAATTCAGTGCCTGCCCACCCCGTGGCCGGCACTGGCCTGAAAGGCTGCCACAGAAACACTGTGATCCATGGGCCCTGATCCCCCATGCTGGGCCTCAGGGATAAATTTGGTCACGGACATCTCGCCACCCCCCCAAACAAAAGAGAAACCAAAGCTAGAAAGGAACAATGGTGATTGAATAGGGAATAGGTTAGTACACAAAGGCTTAGAACAGTGCTTGGCACATTAAATAAGGACTCTATAAATAGTGTTGTTCTTATTATTGTTATTTCAGACCTATGTTTTTAAAAAAAATCATTCAGGCTATAATGTGGAGAATTTATTAAAAGAGAATGGGTAACACTTAAATCAATGGAAACAAACGGAAAATCAACAAGAAAACAGTGGCTTTGAATGACACATTGGACTAGATGGATTTAACAGATACGTGTAGGACATTCCATCCTAAAACAGCAGAATACACATTCATTTCAAGTGCACACAGAACTTTCTCCAGAATAGATCACATATTAGGCCACAAAACAAGTGTCAACAAATTTAAAAAGATTGAAGTCCTATATATCTTTTCTGACCACAACACTGTGAAACTTGAAGTCAACCACAAGAAAAAACCTGGAAATACCACAAATACATGGAGGTTAGATAACATGCTACTAAACAGTGAATGGGTCAACCACGAAATCAAAGAAGAAATCAAAAAGTACACGGAGAGAAATGAAAATGAAAACACAATGGTCCAAAATCTTTGGGATGCAGCAAAAGCTGTTCTAGGAGGGAAGTTTATAGCAATACAGGCCTACCTCAAAAAGCAAGAGAAATCTCAAATATACAACCTAACCTTACACCTAAAGGAGCTCACAAAAGAACAAACAAAACCCAAAACCAGCATAAGGAAATAATAAAGATTAGAGCAGAAATAACTGATATAGAAGCTAAAAAAATAATAGTAGAACAGATTAATGAAACCAGGAGCTGCTTCTTTGAAAAAAAATCAACAAAATTGATAAACCTCTAGCCAGATTCATCCAAAAAAAAAAGAGAGAGAAAGGACTCAAACAATATCACAAATGAAAGAGGAGAAATAATAACTGACACCACAGAAATACAAACAACTGTAAGAAAAATTATATGCCAACAAATTGGAAGACCTAGAAGAAATGGATAAATTCCTAGAAACATATAACCTACCAAACTGAAGCAGGAAGAAATAGAAAATTTGAACAGACCGATTATCAGCAATGAAATTGAATCTAATCAAAAAACTCCCAACAAACAAAAGTCCAGGACCAGACAGCATCACAGGTGAATTCTACCAAACATTTAAAGAGTAAGGGGGCATCTTGGTGGCTCAGTCCATTATACATCCAACTCTTGATTTTGGCTCAGGTGATGATCTCACATTCGTCGGATTGAGCCCTGTGTTGGGCACTGCACTCAGCTCAGAGTCTGCTTAGGACTCTCTCTCTCTCCCCCTCTCTCCCCCTCTGTCCCTCCCCGCCCTTGCACTCTTAAATAAATAAATAAATAAATAAATCTTGTTTTAAAAAATAAAGAAGAGTTAGTACCTATTCTTCTCAAACTATTCCAAAAAGTAGAAGAGGAAGGAAAACTTCCATATTCATTTTATGAGGCCAGTATTACCCTGATACCAAAACCAGATAAAGACACTACAAAAAATGAGAATTACAGACCAATATCTCTG